CAGTGGTCAGGCCTGTACACCGACTATGAGTGGACTTCCCAACAAGACATGAGTCCATCTGGCCCCCTAAGAAATATTTACAACATTTTTTATTATATTCTAGAGTCAACTGATCTTTGACAGAGAAGGAAAACCAAGTCAATGGAGAAAGGATAATCTTTTTAACAAGTGGTGCTGGGACAACTGAATACCCGTATGCAAATAGAAAAAAAGATCGGAATGCAGACCTTATATCTTTACAAAAAATAACTCAAAATGGATCACAGACCTAAATATAAAGCAAAACTGTAGAAACTTCTAGAAGATAACATATGAGAAAACCTAGGTGATCTTAGGTTTGCAAATGAATTTTTAGACATGTTACCTATAAACTAATCAATGAAAGGGAAAATTGATAAGTTGGACTTTATGAAAATAAATAATTCCTGCTCTGTAAAAGACAATGTTAGAGAATGAAAAAACAAGCCACAGACTGAGAAAATAATTGCAAAAGACACATCTGATAAAGGACTTGTATCCAAAATATACAACAAACAGTTGGAACTCAGTGATGCAAAAACAAACAAATCAATACAAAACAGGCAAAAGATCTGAACCAACACCTCACAGAAGATATACAGGTGGAAACTAAGCATATGAAATATGCTCAACATCATGTTACTGGGGAATTGCAAGTTAAAACAATTATATGATACCTCTAGACACCTATTAAAATGGTTAAAATCCCCCCCCCAAATAAAATGAACATATCCAATGCTTATAAGAATGAGAAGCAATAGGAAATTGCATTCATTGCCAGTGGGAATGCAAAATAGTACAGCCACTTTGGAAGACAGCTTGGGAGTATCTTACAAAGATAAACATAGTTTTACCATGCAATCTAGCAATTACACTCCAAGGTATTTATCAAAATTGAGTTGAAAAGTCATGTCCAGACAAAAAATCTGCACATGGACGTTTATAGCAGATTTCTTCATAATCACCCAAAACTGAAAGCAATCAAGGTATCCTTCAATAGGTGAATGGATAAACATCCAAACAATGGAATAATATCCAGTAATAAAAATAAATGAGCTATCAAATCACAAAAATACATGGAGGAACACTAAGTGCATATTGCTAAGTGAAAGAAATCAATTTGAAAAGTCTAAATACTGTATAATTTCAACTATAACATATTCTGGAAAAGGCACAAATATAGAAATAGTAAAATGATGAGTAATTGTCTGGGGTTTGAAGTAGGGAGTGCTGGGGGAGGGACAGATAGCTGAAGTTTGGGATTTTTACGATGGTGAAACTATTCTGTGATACTGTGATGTTGGATGCATGACATGCGTTTGTTAAAATCCATAGAATGTACAACACAAATAGTGAACTTTAGTGTACACTGTGGACTTTAGTTAATAATAATTACCAATATCAATTCATTAATTATAATAAATGTGCCACACTAATGTAGGGTGTTAATTACAGGGAAACTGAATGTTTAGGGATGGGGCACTAGTATATGGGAATTCTATATTATTTGTTTAATTTTTTGACAAATTAAAATAAAAATATAAAGTAGCAAATTAAAAGATAACCATTTTGTGTTGAATGATTTTGTTTTCAGATAAAAGAAAGTAGAATACTGGGTTGTCGGAAAAGTCATGACGCATTTTTGCAATGAAAAACATAGAAAAAAATACGTCATGACTTTTCCAACAACCCAGTAGTTAAAGTTGAAATGCTGGTTCTTTCATGGATAAATAAGTAGCATTGCACACAGGTCCCAGGTAAAATTTTTTACGTAGAAGATAAAATTACATGGGTCCTACTCGATGTTTTCTATGGATAGTATTATAGTATAGTATACTATAGTATGTTATATATTGTAGTATACCATAATATATAGTATTATACAGTGTATGTAGCTGAGACATTTCTACTGAGGAACAGGGAGTGAAAGAAAGCATTCAAATGGATAGGCCTTCATTATAATGGTAGCTATTTATAATTGCAAATTTTGGGAATCTCTCTATTTCAGGAAATTTATTTTTAAGTAATATTATCTTTCAAACCGTTTACATTTGATTTGAAAGATCGCTTTTCAAGAAGGAAGTGACATATACCACCAGCAATTTTTAAAAGTTTTGAGACATTTTTCTGCAATATTGGTTTGATAAGGATTAACACATTTAGAAAATTCTTTCAATATTTTCATTGTGAAGAATATTTATTTTTGTTGCTGTAATAACCAGAAACAGATGTGAGAAGATAGTGTGAATTTCTTCTTTTTCACACCAATAGTAATTTAGATAACAATTCCTATCCCAACTATTAACTAGAGAGTTGGTGGTCTTTTATTGACCTGTGATCAACCTGTATGGAGTTGGCGCAGGCCAAGGATGGTTAACAATGTTATTTTGTGTCCCATCTACTCCCGCCTCACTTCCTCTCTTGTGATCCGTAGTCCACACTATGACCCACTATGGTTAGTTGAATCTAACCTCCTTTGGCAATTCTGCTTCCATCCCAATCCTAGTTTTTAAGATTTCATCGCCTCATTTTCTTAGCTTCAAGATTTTGCTTTGAGTTTGTAACATGACCAATTGCATGCTAATTCCATGTAATGCATGAAGTTGAAAACAGCCTAAATTAAACCTTCATAGAGGGATGTGAGTTTTAATGGGGACTTGGAAATAAAGCATCTTAAATAAGTGAACTTGGAGTGACAGAAATTTAGTGAGCAGATCAGGTCAGAGGATGTTACTGCAGCTGGGAGGATTTCCTCCAAGCCCACCTAACCCAGGCACGAAGAGTTCGATTTGTATGGGAAATGTGAGACAAACTCTAACTCTCACAAAGCTTTCTCTTGACAGTGTTGAACTCTGTGCTTACGATTTTGTGATTTTTTTTCTTTATTCCACCTGATATAATCTCAGCAAGTGTGGATCAAATGAGTTCTAAGGTGAATGGAATGAGTCCTTAAGTTGAATAGACACAGTTTCAGTTGGGTGCTAGTAAAAATGAGTTAGTTGTATATATAGAACTAGAAAATGCATTGGGTGAAGGATACAGGAGCTCTTCGTTTACCCAGAGTCTCAGCTCTAGGGACAAGCTCAGTCTTTGTAAAGTTGTTAAAAATTAAAAATAAACAGAAGGCTTAGAAACAGCCAAGCTTAATGTTATAAAAAACAAATTTTAGGGTAACTTATTTTTTGAAAACAGAAGATATTTTCTGAATACCTTCTCTATTCTATTCCTCTGTACTTGTATGTTATTTATTTGACCTAATTCTAAAATGTTTATCTTATTTCCCAATCCACAGAAGCAATAAACAAAGCAAAAGGAAGTGGAATAGATATTAGTAGGAGGCAAACTGAATACATCAAAAAGTTTTGGATAATAACACTTAGAAAAATTACTGATCATATTGTCTTGTTCTCTAACAATGATAAATCAACAAGGCTTGTAGCCCAGATGAGTGACTTCTTTTTCCCTTTGCCTTAATCCATGATATCATCAACAGCTAAGAATATTCTAATATCATAATCCTAGAAACTAGGGATGGGAAAACTCTTTTAGGAGTTTATTTCATAAGTTTCATTGGCATTTTCCATTTTTTCTGTCCTTCCTCTTCACTGCATTATCTTTTTAGGAAAAAAAATGGTTTAACCTCCATCATTTATTTCTTCAGTGTTTTTTGTAAAAGATGTGATCTCTTGATTTTTTTCCCCACAGATCCAGGACTGCACAGGCAGCTGTATTTTCTGCAAAGACCATCCAATGTAGTAGCCATTGAAGGAAAAGATGCCGTCCTGGAGTGTTGTGTTTCTGGCTATCCTCCCCCGAGCTTTACCTGGCTACGAGGAGAGGAAGTCGTTCAACTCAGGTATTACGAATTTAGGACTTTTGTGACTTATATCTTACTGTTTATCTCTTTCTAATTTGATATACTCTTAGGCATCTAGAAATACTAGGTTTTTTTTTAATAATAATTAAATATTTTCCTGCATTCCTTGACATTATACAGTATTTGAAAGACATTTACCCACTGGAATAAAGGAATGGGGAACAGTGTCAAAATCCCTGAGATCAATTATGGAAGGAAATTGAGAAAGCTAAGATTGCCATTGAGATGGTACTGCCCAAAGAGTCTTCAGCAAAGATCCTTTGGAGGATCTCATCCTAAGGATGTAATAGTGTGAAATATTTATTTTTTTAAAAAGATTTTTATTGGGTAATTTGGAAAGGGGAACTGCATTGGGGAATTGAGGAAGGGGAACAGACAAGTTGCTGTCCTTTTGTTCTTCAGTCTAGTTGTGGAGAATGTTGCTTCACTGGCCCATGTTGGTATAATCATTGTGCTCTTCCCGGTTGAGGCAATCAGTCACTGGCCACTGGACAGCCGCTCACGGCGGCTCAGGCAGCACATGCCAGCTGCCGGCCACTCATGCTGGCTGCCAGCCACTCATGGTAGCTCACGGCAGCCCACTGCAGCCCCACTGCAGCCTGCCCCATCACTGGCGATTCACAGCAGCCCAGCTCCAGATCGAGCTGTTGTTCACCATCTTAGCTGTAGAGGGAGCAGTGTCACTGAACCTCATGTGGGATCCGAACTGGGGCCCTGCTGCTCTGAGCTGTCATCCCAAGCCAACTCTTAACCAACGCGCCACATGGCCTGCCCTGAAATATTTCTTAAGAAACCTAATTGCCTGAATTCAAATGTATAGCAGTCAAATATATAGGATATGTGCATTTTTTTAAAGCTCCAATTATATGTCTCACCATCTGTGTTCTAACAAATATTTCAGATAAGGCAGGTGGAAAAATTGGCTAGCTTTGAATTACTACACATTAATATGAAGGCATAGTTAGAAAGTAAACTCTTAACAGAATGGAACACTTAGTCTGAAACATTTTAATTAAATGGATTTCACTTAAGAAATTAATTTCATTGATTTTGAGGACTGGAGTACTTCTTTGTAGAACATTTATTTTCTATGATGAAATGTGTTCATGGACAATAAGTTATTCTTTAAATTTCATCTACCTCAAGTATTTATTTATATAACATCAATATATGGTATGGTATCACAATACTTTTTTTTTAAGTTGAAGTTGAACTAATTTATTAAGTGATAAAAAAGTAAAATACAATTCCAATTCAAATAGAACATCACAAAGTAGCAAGGGTTCCACAAGTCTATAAATTTATTTCCTCATAAAATTAACAAAGTTAATGTTTCATCTGGTAAAATCTACTGATGCTAGTTGTGATTCATTTAGATATACTCGGAAGTTCAAAATTATGACGAGGGGATACTCCTAATATTTAAGAAAGCTCCCTCATCTAACCATTTAGTTAGAGCCTTGAGCAATCATTGTTAAGGAAGTTGAGAAATAGAGACTCAACTGAGCCTTTGGAGTAAGTGTATGTGAGGTAAGGACCCCAAGCCATGGTTATATCACAATACTTCTGAGGGTATTCAAGCATGCATGAAATCAGGTTGTATCTTTATTGCATCAAGATGTGTTCTCTGAACATATCCAGGCATTCTTGGTGAAGTATGAAATGTGGCTTTGTACAAAGATTTCTAAATTGGGTGGCATGACACAGGATATTGACTTCTGTGAGGAACTGCTTCTATGGACCTTGGAGTTTTCAAATCCAAAGTAAGAGAACTGGCTTAAATTAGCTATATATTTTTTTTTCTCTCAGTACTAACATCATTTCCAAGTGTAATCTACTTCATTTCTTCGATCACTGCACACAGACTTCCAATGGGAATAGTTTACCTTGAATGAATTTTTGACCAATAAATGCGACCTTATCAAGCCCCCAGGATATAGATTCTTTTCAATTATAATTTGAGCTTCCATGGAGTTCATTTCAGCCTCTGTGTGCCTTGCCTGATATACATATTTGTTAATCTGCTCTAAATATATATGCCTTATGTCTTACAGGTCCAGAAAGTATTCTTTACTGGGTGGAAGCAACTTGCTTATATCCAATGTAACAGATGATGACAGTGGAACTTACACCTGCGTTGTTACATATAAAAATGAGAATATTAGTGCCTCTGCAGAGCTCACAGTCTTGGGTAAGTTAACGGCTTGAGATGAGTTTACATTGTACTCTTCAAAGTATATCATCGTGACACTTTAAATGCTTATTACCAAATTGCTTCCTAAGTTTCTTTAGTAGGAAATTGCAAAGTCTAAACATTCCACCCATATCCTTGCTGTACTCTGATTAATTGCATAGAGGTTGAATGCAGTGTTTGAATACTTGCTCATTGATTAAATCCCAGATTCATCACTCTTTAGTCCAATTATTCCAGTGATACAACTGAAACCTACCAAAAATTATTATTTAAAAAAATGTGTTAAGTTACAAATGAGAGGTTCCAAAATATATTATCTGGGGAAAATAAATGAAGAGATAAATGAGTGTGATAAATTACATTAAAAATATGCACCTGAGTGGAAAAATCAGCTGTCATTTGAGATGGTGGGGTTTCTGATAGTAAATTCAGGTGTGTTGCTAAAACTGTTTTGTTAATAAGGAAATATTATAGATGTTATGTTGAAAGTGAAACATTAAAAGCAAATACATCTACAGAAAACTTGCAAGGCAAGAATCTAATTTAAAGGAATTTAAGGGGCATGAATAGGTTCATATTATTCAGAAAAGCAGTGCCACTCTGTGTCATTGCAAATTTATCATTCTTATGTGTGGTAGGTAAACAAACACATACTTTATCATCTACTCCAAAGTTCTTTTAGCCAGTTTCATGTGAATTATGTAGTTTGGAGAAAGCACCTTAACATTTGAATTTCAATTGCTTTGCCCTGTAACAACAACAAAAATCATCTACCAGTCTTTGGATTTTTCCCCATGGAATAAATCTTTATACCTTTTAAAGAGTCCAGAAACAATCATAGGTTCTTTAAAAGCTATACAGTAGAAATGAAACGGTTTGGTACGCTGATTATATCTGCTAGCCTATATCATAATATTATTTTTCTATCCATTTTGCTTTTTAGATTTAAAGTTTCTTTAGAAAATGCTTTCATCTGCAGACATGGTAATAATGTTTATGATGGGTAAGGAGATGGAGTTGTTTGTTCTTTGATCAAACCATAAATGTTAAACTAAGAATAGGCAAAGGACTTTAATTCTTTGGTTTTAGAGGTAGTGTTATTCTAAGTAAAATATTATGTCTTTAAAATGGCAACAATTTCATTTACTCTTATTTTATACGTTATTTTCATTTTTATTTTTTGCAAAACAAAAAACTTTGACATTTATAACATCAAAGTACAGTAACACAGAATGGCTACCATAGAAGTTAGCTTGAAATGTGTATTATTGGTCATAGAGCAAATGCAGTTATGGAGTGAACTAGAATTTGTAGTGATAATAGGTAAACCTCTAAGTGCAAATACATGACGTCAAATTTTATATCAAACGAATGCACGATATTTAGATATATAACACTTCATTGATATCTAAGACAAATGTATACAAATTCTGATTTGTAAGACTACACTTATCAGCCAAGAAATATATGCACAGACATACATATTTGCACACACATTGACATTCATGGCATCTTCCTCTGTGTGTTTCTGTGCACATGTGTATGTTCTCCATTCTTTATTGAGAATTATCTTGTTTCTAAGTTTTAGTAAAAAAAGCACTGAGTTGATCATTCATATGTGTGTGTGTGTGCGCGCGCGCGCGCGTGTGTGTTTTTATATATATATATATATATATATATATATATATATATATATATATGCATATATGTAATTTATTTGCACATATCCTAAAGAAAAGTATTGCAGAAATGGTTGTAATCCCACCAGCAGTGTAAGAATTTGCCCCTCATCAAAACAGTACATATTTTCCCAGCCTCTAATATTTGCTTATCTAAAATTTTATAAAATAGCATTTCTTTGTTCTAATTTGCATCCCCATTGAACTCACATTTCTTTTTATAGTTTTTCTGGACATTAGCATTTTACATTTTGTTAGTTAGTTATCAATCTGTTTTACCTTTATACATTTATTGAGACATTCATCTTTATTTTGTTGATTTGTAGTAAATCTCTATATAGGAAAAATAGTAACTGTGCCATGTGTCTTCCATGTGTGTATTTCTTGGTTGTTGTTTATTTTATTTTTAGATTTTGTATAGTGTACCAAGTCTTCCTCTTTAAGGCTGTTGCCTTTGTTGTTTTTAGACTTACATTTTTGTTCTAAATGAACCACCCTGTTTTCAAAACTTCGATATAATTACATGTTGAATCTGTAAATTAGAAGGATTATTAATTTTTTAAAAAACAGATGGAGCTGTGTTTATAACATGGGTCTTTTTTTGGGGGGAATCCTCATGGTGACTGAGTATGCATTTTAAAGGTTCCCTGCAGATTTAGAATGATTTATAACTATTGCAGAAGCTATGATTTAATTCAGAAGCTGGTTATAATACTGTTAATTATTAACTATCCAGGTTTTAATGTGAATGTTGATACAATAACATTTTTGATATAGTCTTTGACTATTCTGATATAAGGTTGAGTTCATCTTGAAGAACTGAATTTATATGAAAATAGAATTTATTACTTTGTTTTTTAAAAGTAGAAGATGAGAAAACTTCATTATTAAATTTATTCAAATTTAGTTTTGATCATTTTTAAGAATTTAAGCATAATTTAAATTCCTTATAAGATGAAATCCCATAAGAAATGTAAGCTTGTGCTTATAAGCTTTAATTATACATTTTATCATACTCTTTCTACTTGTGGTCCTTTTTTGCACTTAGACTGGCTTTAAATATGAACCTGTATGAACTAACAGACTTTTCAAGTAGGGTATCATTTTATATACAACAAGATAAAGAGAAATGTCCTGGTCTTTCTGAAGAGTTTCAGAGCTAATATACATTAAATATAATTTAAGGCATTTGCATTATAGAATGAAAATGGAAACTTCCATAATAATTAAACCTCTTGGAGAAATCTATATTAGAAAAGACAACCTTATCTAAGATAAATAAAATATAAATACATTTATAAAAGCATTCTTCATAATAGCCATTTATGTTAATGTTTCTGACCGATTAGAATAGCTGTCAATACAGTACTGGCAGACATATTTTGAGTACATGTACTCCACTAGGTTCTGGGAAGGCTACAGAAGGTTTGAAGTCTGGCTTCAATGGGATTTTAGTATAATTACACATTTATACAATCAGTTACTCTAATGCCATCTAAGTAAGATTGTTTTTTCATATTGCAGTCAACATGGAATCTGTGAAGGTAGGAAGAGTTGATGGTCTCTGCTCTCATAAAAGACAGAGCCTAAAGCAGTGGTGGCAGGAGAGGACCTGAGGAGGGGGACGCAGAGCGAGTCTCTGAATTCTGTTGCCAGCTTCCATTTTGTTTAAATCGCTAGTGCCATGATTATTTTTTTAAACTCTTGTTTCGGAGAAGGACCTTAAAAGAGGTATTCTGTCCATTCTTATTTTCAAAATGTCCCACTTCCTGGCTCAAGAATTACAATCACCATTTCTGAAAATATATGCATTTTTTCCCTTTATCTCCCTGTCTTCCCCCTCATGCACACCTCCATATGTGCAGCAAGAAGACCTTTAATAACATTCAGGAGATCTGCCTCTACCTTGGGTCTAGATCTAGTCATTGTCTGAATCAGTGCATAAATGCATACTTTAAAAAAACTATTTGCTCTTTAGCCAGTAAAGTCCCTGACCTTGGACAAGCTCTGTGCACTGTTCATACACACACTAGAAGAGATAGGTGGAAAGGTTTCAGCAGAAGTCATTAGGTCTGACATCTACAAGAAAATGAAAACATTTTTGAACGTTCCAGAAAGGATTCTAGAATTCTCTTTAAAGTGGTCTGCAGCAATATAAACAATATACTATTAAAATTTTACCTTTGTGTGTAGGTTTTCTCAGTTATTTGCCTTATTAACTTTCTAGAGAAATGTTGACTAGACTTGGCACAAACTGGCTTTGCAGTATACAGATAAGTCTGCTAGGTCAGTCCTTTGCACATCATTGAAAACTTGAAACTAAATGTAAGAATTCTTCATATCTTCCATGGCATGAGTGGCACATATGCCTTCATTTGTGTTTGACTTTTTATTTCTCCCAAGTAAACATCCCTGGAACAAAGTCCTTTGAGGCAAGTGTTACTCCTGCCTAAGGTTCTCCTTAAGAGATGGGATCCATGTGTCATGTATGTGTTTAGAAGGCCTCTCTCTATTGACCCGAGCATGTCCACCTTACACAGATATGTTCTTTAAGCCTGATGGTCATAGATTCAGAATATTAAATTTTATATATATATATATATATATATATATATATGGCATATAAATATATATGTCGCCTATGTGTGTGCATATACATAAACACATGTATGTGTGCATGCATATATATAATATACACATTTATATATATAATATGCACATATTCTCTATTTCTAAGAAAATTTCTCTTCAAAATCCATTCCCATATTCTTTCAAATGCTTATGGTTATCTCAACCATTAAATAATGTATTGATCTTGCACATGGTTAGATAATAGGCCAAGCTGTTCAGAAAGTTTTAGGAAAATTATCTTAAAAGAGACTTCAGAAGACAGCAGATTAAGGTATTGGGACTTTGGAAAAGTCATGATACATGTTTGCAACAGATGGCATGAGTTCATTTTTGGAAGTACTAGAGTCATTTGCATCTCTGTTATTGCGATGTCATTTGACAGCTGACAGTTCTAGCTTCATTCTAAAAAAATTGAGCAATTTGGTTGAGTATTGGAGATTTTACAACAAATTGAAGATGGAAGACCAAACTATGCATTTTTGCCATATTTTACTGTTTTACTTCCATAAAGGGAAGAACGCGTGTCAAGCTTGTGAAAAGTTGTATAAAGTTTACATTGACAATGCTCTACAAGATGTCAGTGCCAACGATAGTTCACAAAATTCCGTGCTGGTAATTTTTTATCTCAATGACACTCCTCGGTCAGGGAAGCCCACCGAGGTTGATGACGACAAAATAAAGGCATAG